CTGGCTTAGCTAGGATAAACTTCCCATTACCTGATTTAGATGGCTAAGCTTTAAGGAGGAACAGGAACTCGGACATGTTCCTGTGTCTGGCTACTACCCAAAACCAATTTAAATCCCATGCAAGACCATTTTTGTTAACAAATTGCACTAATGTTTCTAGTTTAATGTTTACCAAGGAAGTTACCAGCCACCTGCAATTAGAAAGTGCGGCTAAACAGCTGTGGCATGAAGTTGGGTAGATTATGTTATAAGTACCACTTCTCACAAAGTATTTATATTTATAGAAGGCCAGAAATATATAAGTCCCAGTCTGGGTTAGATCTATCAGCTTCAGAAAGATTCCTCTCCAGCTTCCTGTGCAGATGTTTCCCTTTACAGAAAAACTGTAGTACCCCCAACACCTACCCTATGTTCCCAAGATGTACCACTTCCTTCACTAGATGCTTTTACATCAGTTGGGCTTGACTTCTTTCATTTTCTCCTGTCGTTATTTCCATGTAGCAGTCACAAAACCTTTGGTGTCAAATCTTATCCCAGTGTGCCTGGTTAGCTACAAGGCAGACAAGGATCTTTGGGTAAACCCAGTATATTTATTAAACCAACTCAAATAGCTGGAAAAATTCTTCTCAGCAAGCTTTTGGACACAAACACCCTTCATCATGCCGGGGAAGTGTCTGCAGATGGTCTGTGCTCTTCCTGGATGGAGTGGTACAGCAGCCAGAGGCCGGTACGTATGCAAGAAAGCCAGTCAGTGAAAATGTAAATTGAGATGGTTAGTAGGTGAAAGACAGGGTTGGGGGGAAGAGGGAATGAATGTAGCTGTAGTCAAAGGATGGGAGACAGGAAGGTGGGGTGGGAGGGAATGAGAGTAGCTGTTAAGAAGTGGAGGTTTTACCTGGGGAGTCAGATGTTAGGCAGGTTATAATGTGTCATAAATCTAATGTCTATATTTAGTCCATGATTTTTTGTGTGCAGTAAAGTGATGAAGTAGAGTTCATAGGCTCGTCTGTGAAAGGTAATCTGTAAATTCCTTTTAAGGATTAGAACTGAGGAGGAGAGCTTGGAGAGAGAGTGGTTTTCTTGTGAGAAATGTGCCCCCACAGGTAATTGGAGATTCTTGTCTTTAATAGATTTTCAATGTGCATTCATTCTGGTGCACAGTTGTTGTTTCGTCTGCCCTATGTATTTTCCATCAGGGCATTTGGTGCACTGGATGAGATATATTACATTTCTGGAGGTGCAGGTGTAAGATCCAGGAATGGTGATGCTCTGTTGTGGGGTGTAGTAATTGTGGGGGTGGTGGAGATGTGTTGGCAGGTTTTGCATTTCTTGTCCCGGCATTGTCTGGATCCAATCAGTGTGTTTTGGGCCATAGGAAGTTTGCTTCTGGTGATGAGGTTGGTGAGGTGTGGTGCTTGTTTAAAGGATAGGATGCATGGTTCTGAGAATATCTCTTTGAGAACTGGTTCTCCTTCTAATATGGGTTGCGACTGTTTAAGGATTTTCCATATAGTTTCCAGGGAGGGATGGTATGTCATAACCCATGGTGTGAGATTCATGGCAGGGTTTCTTCTCTATTACAGCAATTCTTCATGTGGTATCTGGGTGGCTCTTTCAAAAGTGTGATCTATCTCCCTGGAGGAGTGTCCTTGTTGACTGAAGGCCATTTTGAGATCTGTGAGGTGGTGATCACGGGTGTTCTTCCCCAGTGTAAATTCAGTGGTATCGGGGGCTTGGCTGTAAGTTACAGCTTTCTTGGTGTGTTTAGGGTGATTGCTGGTTCTGTGCAGATATGTATGTTGGTCCATGTGTTTCTTGTACATGGTTGTGACAGGGCAGCAGTCACAGAACTCCAAAGGAACAAAGAAAGAAGAGAAACTTCCTGGGGCAATGAGCATGGACAGGGAGAGAAGATGTGGTGAACCCAGGCAGGGGAAAATACACACAAAAGCCCCAGATGGTAATTAAGGGGATAAGCTGCGAGATCCGGCAGAGCAGTGAATGAAATGCTGCCACCGCAGATGCAGCTGATCGGTATGGAGAATTAAAAGGGAGCTGGCCAAGTAGTTGGCTTTCCAAAGGGAAAGGTAAATGCCCTGAAGGAGACCCATGGGAGAACGGACCAAGGACAGCAGCATGTGGCCAACAAAGGGGACTTGGGAGAGAGTTTCAAAGACAGACTTACCTGCAGAGCCAGGGAGATGAGACAGCAGTGGCATCCAAACCAGTGAGTCTGAATCCGGTGGGAGTGGGATTCCTTCCCAGAGACCTGGAGGAGGGAAGAGGTGGAGCTGAGTGGAGATGTGAGTTTGGGGCACTGGCCCAATATACCTCTGCACTGAAAGATAAGTGCAGAGATGAACAGTGGGACAGTTTGCTTGGGACCTGTGCAGGGAAGAATGGGGCAAGCAACCAAGGGTGAGGAAGTTGCCACTGAGAGACTGAGCAAGGCCATTTGGAGACCTGTTACTCCCATAAGGGAGACCTAACAAAAGTAAAGTTATAACATCTGGTGTGGTAAGGACAGGGGATGGGGATGGTGGAGCCCTATGAAGAGGAGTCAGCCTTCTAAACCACAGATCTAACATCAACCTTATGTCATAGGGCTGTGTTTATCCTTGGTTCATTCCTTTTCCTTCTAAGTCATGGCAGGTGAAATTAAAGAAGACTATCTGGTCCAATGAGAGTGACAGGTTGCAGTTTTACTTTCCAGGCATGGCTATTCTTCCACAATGGTGGTCTGCATTGTACTATTCTGAATAGTGACCATTGCGTCTAAAATTGAATGCTGGTGTTGAAGTATTCCAGAAATAATCTGATGGAGGGGTGCTGCATGTTGAATTTATGATGGAAATCAATCAGAGATTGCAGGCTTTCAATCCAAATGATGAAGATGTTATCTATATATCTTAAGTATAGCAAGGGTTTGATGGTGCAGTCATTGAGGAATTTTTCTTCCAGGTGGTTCATGAAAAGGTTGGCATATTGTGGGGCCATTTTGGTGCCCATAGTTATGCCCATGGTCTGGAGGAAGTGTTGGTTATTGAAAGTAAAGTTGTTGTGTGTGAGGATAAAGTGTGTAAATTCAGTTATATCTTTGGGTCTATGCTCTGAGTTGCAATCTTGTTCTTGCACATATGTAAGGCAGGCTTCAATGCCATCCTGGTGTGGGATGTTAGTATATAGGTCGGTAATGTCCATGGTGGCTAGGAGGGTGTTGCTTGGAAGGTGGTCTATGTTTTTAAGTTTTCATAGAAAGTGTGTTGTGTTTTGGACAAAACTTGATTTTTAGGTGACAAGGGGTTTTAGGACTGATTCAATGAAACCTGGTATTCCTCAGTGAGGGCTCCAGGGTTGGATAGGATAGGTCTTCCAGGGCTTCCCTGTTTATTGATTTTGAGGAGCATGTAAAAAACCCCTGTGTTGGGTAGCAAGGGGATCAAGTTCTGTAGTTTTTCTTGTGGTTCTGATGGAAATGATTTGATGGTAGTTTCGAGTTCCAAGGTGAAAAGGAGAGTAGGATCATCCTCTAGTTTTTCATAGTATATGGTGTCAGAGAGTTGTCTGTTGGCTTCTTTTATGTAGTCTTCACAATTAAGGTTAACTATAGCTCCTCCTTGGTTAGCTACAAGATTGTACATGAGTTATTGATTCCTGTTCCCACACTACCTGCATAGAACATTTTCTTAAATTCTCCTTTTCACTTGGGAATTCTTACTATGACAGTGACCGATTTTTGCTATATATAGATTTGTGTGCATGTGTGGTTTTCCAGTCTTAGCTGACCACAAATGTTCATTATCTATGGCCTTTACCCCTTTATTCTAATCACTTCAGCAGCAATTTGCTTTTGATTAAACACAAGCATTGCTTTTTCTTTCTTTCTAATATCCCACTATTTAAATGACTGGTTAAGTCATTACCAAACAATATGCATGCAAGTGCTAAGGGTCCATTATTATTTTCTAGATTGTTTATAAAATTTTTAACAGTAACATTTACCCATTTTAAATTGCTGGCAATTAAATAGATACTTTCAATAGTAAAAGCCACCTGATTTAAAAGCACGGTATTAGTTCCCCCCACCATTCTCCCCTTCTCCCAGTCCCCAGTTTTCATAGCTTTATAGAATCAATTCACACAGCTATTCACCTCAAATTCAAGCCTTCAAGAATTCCAGAGTGATAACGATAATCCAGACCCCCATCTCCCTTCAAAAAGAGTACTCATAACCTCCTTCTCTCTCATAGTCATTACCTTTTGTTCTTAAAGATATTCCATTCACTCCACACCTCATGATGCAGTGCATAGATGTGATTTCTTCCATAAGCAACATTTAAGTTATTTGCTGACTTGAATAATTCAAACCACAATAATTAGATCTAACAAAATGGTGCTTCTGTGGTTGTTCAGATCTTGTGGCTACCATCACTGACAGCATGAATTTCAGGATCAATCCCTGTAAGATACACGGCGGGGGGGACATTTGCTTCTTGAGAACAGATCTTTGTAAACATTAATTGGACTGACCCTTTTCCTGCAAGTCCAATAAATACACAGAAAGCCCCAGCTTATACATAGTTACTATAATTTCTGCACTCCAAAGACACAGTGCGCAAATTGGCTTCTTTATGCTCTTCATTTCCCTGTTGCATAATCTTTGTTCATGATGTTCTAAAATTTCACCAGTTGACTATCCTATGTACCAACACCTCCAGCCCCAAACCTGGTACCAGTCTTATATCAGCTAACTCAGCTTCTAATAACCAGCAGATACTTCTGTATTTCTCCTCTGCCAAACTCTTGGGCTGTGGGTCCCCCAAAGAATGCCTTCTGTACTGTCATTTTCCAATTTTCAATCTGTGCAGCTCCACACAATCAACTGTACTCAGAAATGGTTCAATAAATTTATTGAAATCATGTGGGATAGGGTACCCTAATTTAACAAAAGACTTTATCTCTATTTGTAAATGCCTTGTTTCAATCACTTGTCTCCACAGGTGATTCTTATCAGTGTTTCCAGCCTTGACAGTCAGTGGGGCCTGTGGCAATAGATGCATTTCCACCAAACAGTAGCCACGCAATAATGCATGTCCACCACAAGGTAGGTACTACTTGCAGCACTCTCATATGTAGTGGGGCACTAGGGACTTTTGTGGATGAGGACATTTAAAGAACCAGTGACCAGTTCAGTTGGCTCTGGGCTGCCTGATCCTATAGGTCTGCTAGCTCCTCTATGAACTCATCTGGCTAATATTAACAAGATAGCCTTGTATTGGAGGGCTATAACAAAAGTCCCAGTTTCTGGTAAAGACCCTCAATTCTCACTTCACCTGCGTGCCAAAATCTTCAATTTTCTCCTTGAGTATCAAACAATTATACAAAATGAAAACAAACTTGAAAACAGTCTAAAAACACCCAAAGTGAAACTAATGGGATGGGGAGTTTCTATATCATGACCATTAAGTTAGCTTTCTTTTGCTTTGTCTACTCACTCAGAGCATCTAAATGGTCTCTGTTACCCAACTGGCTGCATTATTGCTGCCTTCATTATCAATGCAAGATAACTCCATGAATGCCACCCTAATATTCGTGACAGATTAAGAGAGAAGATATATATTTTGTATTCTATATATATTATTGCACAACACTGTGTAGTTCAGCCCAGGAAACTATTCATTTCCTGCTAAATTTACACTTATTGTCTGGGTACAAGTTTATCATAATCTCATATGAGGGCAAGAAAAGAATATTTTTTAAGAACCATTGCGCTCAGCTTGAGAAAGATGCTGATTTCCAGTGCAACTGAATCCTAAGGTAAGAGAAAACTATGCTTTACACAGAATTTGACAGGTGTCACCACAAAAAGGGGCTACTTAGAAATGGTCTTGTCTGTCTAAGGATCTTATTATGTTCCAACCTCTGGTATGTGCATGATACTTAAAAGTAGATAAGGATGATGGCAAAATGAGTGAGAACTGTAAAACCAGAAAAGGGAACATGAGGTTAGTTACTGTAAGACAGAGGGGTGAAAATGTATTGTGAGATCAATGTGGAAGATAATTAAATCACCACCACCAGAAATGTTTAAAGCTAGATTGAAATGCTAATGGATTTACAATATAGAATATTCTCATCTATAAAACCTATCATCATAGGAATGGCTTAGTTGGCAGGGGTGTGAGACACCCCTGCCCATTCCCACACTTTATGTTGTGGTTGAGGAACATGTATGAGAGAGAGACATTCAGTAAAAAAAAAAACAGAAAAACAACTGGCTGCTGCCAAATATATTCTGCTGAGGCAAACCATATGTGGCTGCGGTGTGACGCAGCAATTAAACTGGTAAAACAAAAACTAGAGAGATATATGATATCCACCAGTATGAGAAGTGTGCAATTAAAACAGCAAAGAGGTGACATAGTTATTTTGATTGTTCATGGCAGATATAACTAGGAAAATAGGATAAAAGAAATGTTAAGATTGAATGTTAAGAACTCAGGAGTATGGCACACAAGGAAAATCCCCAAAACCCAGTATTTAAAACTAATCTTGACAGCATTGGAGAAAGTCCTGTAGATTGTAAGTGTGCTACACTGATAGGAAGACAAGAGTGGTTGATTAGAAATGTCTCAGTTCTCCAATATCAACAACTGAATGCATGTGTAATCACATCAGTAACAAGGGGCAAAGAAGGACTAGAAGAAACAGGAAAATGAATGAGTGGAAGGAGATGGAATGAACAGTGATTTCAAATCCCTGAAATATTGAATTCTCTTTTTAAATTTTCCTGTCACAGATAATAGAAACCAAACCTGAATCCTTAGTAAAGAAGAAGGCCTTTTAAAAAGAACCCCTGACAAAGACCAGGTAAGAGAAAATCTGAAGAGGCAGGCAGGGTGGGAAGAGGAGGCGGGCTACACACATTTTAAAGGGATCAGGGGAATTAGCTAAGCATATTAAACATCTGGCAATTATTTTTCTAAACATTACGGATAATGAGGGAGCCAGCAGTAAGCTGGAGGAAACACAAATCCCCTCCCCCCTCCCCCTCCTTCCAAAGACAAGAAGAGTAATCTTAGTTTCTAAAATCTGAATGGAACTGGATAGTGGCAAAGCTGCGTCGCAGAGTGGACAGGGCTCAGGAGTTATTTTGAAACCTGCATTTTGTTTCCATGTCTTTCTTGGGCAAGTCACTTGAGCTTTTAGTGTCCCTATGTCCCCATCTGATTAATAAAGATAACAAAATAGCTCATTTGTTAAAGTACTCTGAAATATTTGCTATATTAGCTCTAGGTATTACCACCATTATTATAATACCAAAACTGGTTAACTACATTATGCCATAACTAGCCCATTCTTACCCCATCCCACCTTGTTCACCTTCTCTTGGGCACTTTTTAGAACGTAAGTCCTATTGACTCTTGGTGGGTCTTAGGCAATATATAGCCCACAATGGATGTGGACACACATACATCTGGAGCTGCTGGGAAAGGGGAATGTTTCAAAAAGGCAGTAGATGCATCAACAGATTAACAGGGACTTGAACTGAGGATTGTGCTTAGGTGCTTAATAGGTGGAATAGGTACTTAGTGCTGAAAAGTCCTACATAAAAATGAAATACTTTCTAATTACATGTAGTATATTAGGTCCTACTGGTAGTCACCCTAACAATCCTTTTAAATACTCTTCTGTCTAAGAATTTTGGTTTAAATATATACATTTTTAAAGTCTTAACTGCTTGCAAGTAGAGTTGACCTTTATCTAGTGGATTCTGTCTCTCAGTCTATTTTGTGCTATTGACAGGAAAACTGCAAATGATTTGGTTCGTGTAACAGTCAGATAGTCTGACGTTTTGGGCCTAAATGCAATGTCAATTATAAAGCCCTCTAGTACCACCCTCACATTGCCTCTCCAACTTCTTTTCACAAGCCAAGCCTGCTCTAAGTCTGTTTGGGTGCCTGTACACGTGCAGCAAGGCTGCTCCAATGCGTTGTAATACAGTGTGTCTGAGCAGACTTTAGTAATTACCACACTCCAGCAGACTCCAGAAAATCATATATTAAGGTCCCCACACTGAAAAACGGTGGAAGCGGTTTAACTAAAGCTTATTCAATGAGCTTTAGTTAAATCACCCCCACCGCCATTTTTCAGCACAGGGACACTGATAGACAAGACACTCTAGCACTTTAATTAGAACGACTCTCAGAGCCACTCTAATTAAAGCACCCTCCCCCCACCCCCAGAGCACGTGTATAAACACCCTTTCACTTGCATTCAATTACTTGTCCTGAAAGACCCCAAATCTTTTCCAGTCACTGCTTCTAAGAAAACAATATCTCATTCTGTAGATATGATCTGCATTTTTTGTCTCTGGTTATATAACCTCAAATATGACTGCATAAAAATGCAAATTGATCAAATGAGCTCATATTATTAGAAAACTCAGCTCCCTCTGAATGACTATCCCATCTCAACCACTATTAACCCTTTTACCAACTTTTGGCATCCTCTGAAAATGCTATTGTCCATGATTTCCTATTTACAGAGCTCACTGATAAAACAATGAACAATGCTGGGCATGGAGACAAACCCACAAGACTGTGCCAGAAATACATCAGATTGATAAAAGGTTCCTCTCTTTTTGAGATCCAACAGAGGGTCAATGTGTGAATTACTGATCTTTGTAAACGAAAGGTTTTCTTTAAACCAGGAGGTGTGTGCTTTAAGTAAAAAAATCTTACAAATGCTTAAAGGTCATTGAACATAGATAGTATATTAATCAAAATTTATAATCTCATCAAAAGAATGAAAATCAAGTATGTGTGACTAGACCTATTTCCCATATAGCCATGCAAACTGACAAGAATTATATTACTATTCTTTAACTCCCATAACAGATTTTACCTTAGTTTGCCCAGGACCTGAAGTCAGGTTAATCAGGCAGTCAGGTTCATCAGTCTGTGGTTATTGCTGGTCCTTTTTCAATAGTGATACATCAACTTTCTTCCACACTTCTGGAAATGCCTGCTATAGCTTCATTGCAAGAAGTGTCTAGATGCTGCTGCTTTCTTTCCTGGTTCAGTTCCTTGAACTGGTATGTCTGCCAGTGTATCAAACAGGCTGGAGTCCATAGAATATCACTGAATAGGCAAAGGAGGCATACACCAGTCCAAGGAAGAATCACAGGCAGGGGAGAGGTGAGTGTTGTTGTAAGTATGTAGAAGCAAGTACATTTTCACATGAAAGAAGCACCTGTATAGTTACATACAATTCCCCACAAAATATACAGCTTGGCCTGAGCCTGAACCAGCAATGTATGAATTATTCAGCATAAGGTAAACATATGTCCTTGCTGACATAGAGCATCCAGGGAGGAAAACCCAAACCTGCCCTGGTCTTCTAAAACATGCTTTGTTTGGATGAGAAAATAAATTAAACTCTCCAGCCGCATACAGACAAGCAAGCAAATGTCTGTTGCGGCATCTCAAAACAGTTTAAGACACTGCAGGAGGCAAGCTAGGATAAAAAAATGTTCCCTGCACTGCATATTTGCAGTGTAGACTCTAAGTCTGATACCAGGAAGTCCCAGTATAAAAAAATAAACACCCTGGAAAAAAGCAGCGCAGAGCACACTCCTGGAGCGTGTCCCCAAACAACTGGAGCCTGGGTCCTCCAAAGAGGTGCTCTAGCACATGGCCAGAGTATCTCTATGCCTGCTGCATGCTCCACTACTGCTGTAGCACACTGCCTCAGCATGCTGGAGCAAATAGAAGTGGGGTATGGCTGGCAGCAGCGGCCCGGACCAACTAAGTAGGGATGTGGGGATGAGGGGGCTGTGTGGGTGGGGAGGATTGTGTGGGGATAGGGAGCACTTTGCAGGGGAGGGGGACAGTGTAGGAGGTGTGGGTACCCTGCCGCCCCCCTACAGCACATCTCTCTTCCCCCCAGCAGCAGCAGTGGGCTGTCAGGGTGCTGCTGGGTCAGTTTCTGCCATGACCCAGGGCTCCCAGCTCTGTACACAGGAGCTGTGTGCCATTGGGCCAGGTAAGCTCCTGCCTCCATAGAGCAGGGGCGCATGCAGGCAGATGTGGGCCTGGCCCAATGGCACATAGCTCCTGCATGCAGTACCAGGAATCCCGGGACATAACAGGAGCTAGCCCATAGATTCATAGATTCATAGATGTTAGGGTTGGAAGGGACCTCAATAGATCATCGAGTCCGACC